GATCAGTCGGGGACCCCGTACGGACCTGTTCATCAGAACAGGACAGTTATTAATCAAAAGCAGATCGACAGAGAACAAAGGTCAAACAGAGACCGATATCGACCATACATCACCGATCGAGTAAATAATGGTTCAACACGCAATGTAGTTCGGAACAGTCAAAGAATTGATCGGGGACAAAATTCTCGGGGGTTTATGAGTAAGAGCGGCTTCGACAAAATATGCTGAGCCTATAGAAGCACCTCGATTATCAGAGTATAACTTCAGCGTTGGCGCATCCGCTCTCGTATCGTCCATCAGACGTATCGAAGACACTAAATGGCCCCAACCAATGCAAACCAATCCTTCCCGGAGAAATCCCAATCAAACGTGCGAATACCATGGAACCCATGGCCACAGAACGGAAGATTGCAAGCAGCTAAGAGAGGAAATAGCTCGCCTATTTAACAAAGGGCACCTTCGGGAGTTTCTGAGTGATAGAGCAAAGAGCCATTTTAGAAGTAGGGATGTCAGCAAGCAGAACTAGCAAGAAGAACCACAACACATTATCCACATGATCATCGGTGGCACCGATACCCCCCGGGAACCGATGCTTAAGCGCACTAAAACATCGATGGTGAGGGAAAAGCGATCTCGGACTCAAGAGTACGCACCCATGGGGACTTTGTCCTTTGGTGATAAAGATGCAGAAGGGGTCATCCAACCTCACAACGACGCACTGGTAATATCCGTACTCGTAAATAAAACTAAGATTAAGCGTGTGTTGATCGATCCAGGTAGCTCGGCCAATATCATCCGNAGATGCAGAAGGGGTCATCCAACCTCACAACGACGTACTGGTAATATCCGTACTCGTAAATAAAATTAAGATTAAGCGTGTGTTGATCGATCCAGGTAGCTCGGCTAACATCATCTGATTGAAGGTAATAGAGCAGCTCGGCCTGCAGGATCGAATAGTGCCTGCAACTCTGGTCCTAAACGGGTTCAATATGGCATGAAAAACCACCAAATGGGAGATAGCCTTGCCAATAAATGTGGCCGGAACTGTCCAGGAAATAAAGTTTCACATGATCGAAGGCGATATGAGGTATAACGCCCTTTTCGAAAGGCCATGGATCCACAACATGAGAGTCGTGCCTTCGACCCTGCACCAGATCCTTAAATTTCCGGCATCGGGAGATGTCAAAACGGTATACGCGAAGCAGCCAGCCGCAAAAGAAATGTTCGCCGTCGATGAAGCCAAACCAATGTCCTCACTTTTGCCGATAAAGGGCCCGGGCCCGGAAGGAGAATAGGACACCAAATAGCAATCACAGACAGTGACTCCAACCCAGCCTGACAACCAGAAAGTCGAAGAGAATGAAGACCAAAGGGTCCCTCGATCTTTCGTAACTCCTGATGACTCTGATGCCACAAAATCAACGATCGAGAAGCTAGAACAAGTCGTATTAATCGAGCGCCGGCCCGAGCAAAAGGTATACTTGGGAACGGGGCTGAGCCCTGAACTCAGGAAGAAACTCGTTCAATTTCTTATCAATAACATCGATTGTTTTGCCTGGTCCCATTTAGATATAACAGGGATCCCGCCGGACATAACGACGTATCAGCTAAGTTTGGACCACAGGTTCAGGCCGGTGAAGCAAAAAAGAAGACCCCAGTCCGATAGAAAGAACGCCTTCATAAAGGACGAGGTAACCAAACTTCTCAAAATAGGGTCCATTCGGGAGGTAAAATACCCCGAATGGTTAGCCAACGTAGTCGTAGTCCCTAAAAAAGGGGACAAACTTAGGATGTGCGTGGACTATAAGGATTTGAACAAAGCATGCCCCAAAGATTCTTTTCCATTGCCCAACATCGATCGCATGATCGATGCCACGGCCGGCCACGAGATCCTCACTTTTCTCGATGCCTATTCCGGGTATAATCAAATACAGATGAACCCGGAGGACCAGGAGAAAACCTCGTTTGTCACCAAATATGGGACATATTGTTATAATGTGATGCCTTTCGGGCTAAAAAACACAGGGGCCACTTACCAACGCCTAGTGAATAAAATGTTAGAAGAACAAATAGGAAAATCAATGGAGGTTTATATTGATGACATATTAGTCAAATCCCTGCGCGCAGAGGACCATTTAATTCATTTGCAGGAAACGTTCGAGATTCTGAGGAAATACAAAATGAAGCTCAACCCCGAAAAATGTGCCTTCGGTGTCGGTTCGGGCAAGTTCCTCGGCTTCATGGTATCACATCGGGGAATAGAGATTAACCCTGATAAAATCAAGGTTGTTGAAGACATCACCGTCGTAGACAGCGTAAAGGCCGTGCAAAGACTAACGGGTCGGATCGCCGCCCTAAGCCGATTCATATCGAGGTCATCCGATCGAAGTCATAAATTTTTTTCTGTACTCAAAAAGAAGAATGATTTTTCATGGACCCCAGAGTGCCAACAAGTATTAGAAGGACTAAAACGATATCTGTCAAGTGCACCACTGCTTCACACTCCAAAAACCGATGAGAAACTTTGTTTGTACCTAGCAGTGTCGGAAGTCGCCATAAGCAGTGTCCTGGTTCGAGAAGAGCAAGGTACGCAATTCCCAGTTTATTATACAAGTCGAACCTTAGGAGAGGCGGAAACTAGATATCCGCTCCTAGAAAATTTGGCGCTTGCACTAATAAGCGCCTCAAGGAAGTTAAGGCCGTATTTCCAATGTCATCCCATATGCGTATTGTCTACTTACTCGCTTCGTAATATTTTGCACAAACCCGAGTTATCAGGCCGGCTGGCCAAATGGGCCGTCGAACTCAGTGGGTACGATATCGAATATCGACCCCATACGGCCATCAAGTCTCAAGTCCTAGCAGACTTCGTGGCCGATTTCACACCAGCCCTCTTACCCGAAGCCGAAAAAGAACTGTTGAAATCAGGTACATCATCAAGGGTATGTGTCCTTTTTACGGATGAGGCTTCAAACGTAAAAGGGTCCGGGCTGGGCATAGTTTTGAAACCACCCATGGGTGGCATTATTAGATAATCTATTAAAACTATCAGATTGACTAACAACGAGGCCGAGTACGAAGCCGTGATTGCAGGTCTCGAGCTGGCTAGAAATTTGGGAGCAGAAACCATTGAAGCCAACTGCGATTCCTTGCTGGTGATGAGTCAAGTAAACAAAACTTTCGAAGTTAGAGAAGGTAGAATGCAGAGATATTTAGATAAATTGCTTATCACTTTGTGCCATTTCAAACAATGGACTTTACGGCATGTACCACAGGAACAGAATAATGAGGCCGACGCACTGGCGAATTTAGGGTCATCGGTCGAGGTAGATGATATGGGCTCGGGAAATGTGGTTCAACTTTTGAGATCGGTAGTCGAAGAAGGACACGCCGAAATAAATTCTACAAGCTTAACTTGGGATT